TAGAAAGTCAAAAGCTAGCCTTTCTGTACTTAAATTTTTCTAAAATTTTGAAGTTACAAGACTCAATTACATGAGGAAGAGGTTTGAGAAACTTGCCAATCAATAATAAATTAAGATTTCAAGTAGAATAAATGAAGAGTCCATTTTCATCTGCCTATTTTTCTCCTATGGAATAAACAAAAGCTACTTCAAGACTCAGTAACCTTTTTCTCATATACATTTATTTGAAAAGTTCTTCATATTAATTTTTTCTCAGTTATTAAAGGCGTTAATTAAGTCCATTTTCTGAGCATTCAAGTTTTCATGACCAAAATTTAACATCTTAAAAGTAATGATTTCTTATTTTATCAAAACCAATTTTATTATTAGAGCAAGAGTAAATTCAGTAATAAATTTTCTTGCCATAACTTAACCTTTAGATCTAATATTTTGTGAGGCATATTAATTTAAATATTTTTTTAAAACCAAAATACTGGTATTTGAGATTTGAAAAGCATTATAGGATTTTTACTTCCCTTTTGAATGTGTTTGAATTTTCCCATAGATTGCATACTTTTGTTGAAAAAAATAACTAAAAAAATTGAAAACTTATCCTTCATTCTTCAGTTTTCTGGCGGACGTTTCCAGTACTGACTTCCCTCATTCTTGAAGTGTATTCCAAGATGATTTTTGTGCTTCTCCTTGATCAATTTATCAGCCAACTTTCAACCTATTTGCTTCCATTATTTCTTTTCTTCTGTCCTTCACTTCGTTACTCAAGTATCTATCAAGCTCTTTTTTCCTTCTCTTATATTCTCTCCCTGACCTTGCTACTCCAGTATCTTAATTTGTCTGTCATGCTAAAAAGTTCCTATATTTTTGTTTGCTTTAACTTTTAGTAAAATCAATATAGTTTACATAGTGAATGAGTTAAGCACTGCTAAAAATGATTCTTTGCTCATACTGGTATTATTGACAATAGGATATATTAAATCAATTTTGAGCACACACGCTAAATGAAATGGTTACTTAAGTGTTGATAAATGACAAACACGTTCGGTTATTTCCTTTGATGAAAATAATTAAATTTTGAGTCTTGAACCTGTTATGATTAAGCTTTCATTTTATTTTCTTTTTTTCTCACCAATTCAATCTTTATTTGTTTCCCTCTTTTTTCGTTTCCTTTTCTTTTCTTTATTATCTTTATTTTTGTCCTTCCTTTTTTCTCCTTTTCTTTCTCTTTTTTCTTTTCTTTCTTATTTCTTTTTTTTTCATTTCTTCTTCTATCCTTGCTTTCTTTCTGTTTCTCTGTTTCTCTCTTATGTTTACATATAGCATATAAGTTATTTTTTCCATTACTTTTCATCAAGATACAAGGGCAAATTCAAGTAAGAAACAGCTGTGTATATTCTCATTAACTCTCCATCAAAACTGAACACACAAGTATCTTAAAACACAATAAGATAACTGTATATACCTCCAGAACTCTTTAGTCTATTTGTACTTGTGCTCCTGATCAAGTTGAAGCAATACTGTTAACAACACTCCATATTCTATACTTCCACTGCACTGCTGCAATATCAAGACTTCTGGGTTGTTATTAGTGCTGATGAACGATCTGTCTTTAACACTGGAAAAAATTAATAAATCCAACCAATATTATTCTAAGGATCTAGTTGGTATGTGAGAATTTTTTTCATACATTTCTTACTTACCTTTTGCTTGACATACACAACATTAAAAAACGTACAGATTTCTAAGGTTGCAAGAGAATATGCCAATGGAAAAAATCATCTTTTTAATGACTAGCCTTAGTTGTTTTTGAAAGATTGTTAAGATAACTTTTGTGTCTAGGAAAAAGTTACTATATTGATTAAAAAAAAAGATAATTCTGACGGTGACCATTAATTCTCATTTTTCATTTCTTATCTTATTTACCGTGTGTCACTTTCCCTAAATTGAACTCAGCTGGTAGTCATTTTCTTTCCATTTTTACTTCTCTAATTTACTCCACTATTTTATTAAAAACTTCCTATAAAAAAATAAATTTCTTTAATCTTATTTCTTCAAAATTCGTGCCATTTTCCCCCCAATATTATTTTCTGTCGTAAGCAATTTGCATTTGAAAAATAATTTTATCGATTTTGTAATAAATATTTCAAAAATTCTTTCTCTACTCATTTTGGTTCGAAAATCATAAGATTTTTATCGATAATGTCAACTGACTTGATTTCTCAGTCATTTGTTTAATTCCCTTTCACTTTTCCTTCGTTTTTCATTTCTATTGATATTTAATCCATAGTGTCTACTCACTTGTTTTCTAAGTCCTATCCCATTTGTTTTATTCTCTTTCATTTTGTCTAAGTTTTTTTAACACCATGACAGATGTACGTGTTGGACAGCCCACCTCAATAATCTTCAACAAGAAATCTTAGTTCAATATCAATGATTGGCGTTTTTCCGCTCACGGTCCTCTATATCACTGTAATACTCCTATATAACTCTATATTACTCTAATTCTGCTTCTAATTCCGTTTTTTAGGAGCATTTAATGCAACAAGATAGACTGATCCAGAACAGAATCCACAGAGCCTTCCGCAGAGCAGAAAACCAACTTCTTAAAGCTCTCAAGGCCAGGAAAGGCGAAGTCAAGGTAAGCTGGCAGCTTGTTTATCTTTTCTTTTCATATTATTAAGTTTCCAATAAAGAAAAAGTTATCTTTGGCTGTCAAAGAATCTGTCAAAGAAGTAAAGCTGGCTTTTGGGATAGAAGAAGGATGATCTCTTTTGAGGAGGCTATTGAAAAAAAACTTCAATTGAATTTGGCATATTTTTAAGAGTCTTCCTTCAATGCAGAATTAGAAGAAATCCCGCTAACGCAAAATTTCCTAGGAGATAAAAAAATTCCTGGATTACTGAGATTAAATGAAACACAGGGAATAGCACAGCTTTTGGGCCATGTTTGTCGCCACAATTTTATTTATTGATGGAAAATAGTCCAATTTTAATTTCAATTTTAAAAGCATGTATAAGAAAGTGTAGTCTGAAAACACTGATAGATAACGGCGTTTTTGTCTTTAATTGCCTTTCAAGAGCCTTTACTTCGTAAGATAACATACGAACCAAACGAAGCATTAGTTTTATTAAGGTGGAAGCAAACTAATTCAATATTACTAGATGATAAGATTCTAAAAATTTCAGAAAAAAACGTACCTGAGGATGAGGAGAAAAAAAGCCAAAAACTAAAAATAGCACTGTTTAATTTTCGGCCGTAATAGGCTAAACATTTAAAAAATCTTAAAATAAAATACACTGTTAGAATCTAGGATAATCCAAGCACATTATATGAAAAATACAGTTAAATTGACGCAGTAGTTTTGCGAAGGGAGCGAGAATAAAAGTGTCCAAAATTCGCTCTGAATTAGTTTGGTTCACCTTAAACCCTCAACAACCTCTGGGGTGATCGACTTCAGGACACGGCTATCGTACAGATGAAATTGGAATTTAGTGTGTTAGCTTCTGCAGAAGGAGGAAAAGCGGAGATCCCGGAGAAAAACCCTCAAGGGAGAGTTGTAAACAAAATCTACTCAAGTTGACCTGAACTAGATTTGATATTTGAAAGTATTTGCTAGATCAGTCTTTCGAAATATAGGTACAGGGTCGTTGCCGAAATCTGAAAAAAAAACAAAAAAACTTGGAAGTTCGCATATTCAAATTGCAACCTTCAACGCCGCATACACAATAGTTTTTACACCGTTCAGTCTATTAATTGAAGAGCTGGCACGCCCATAAAAACATCAGCGCATGAACAATCACCAAGCAAGGCGTCAGGCAAGTCTTTGCTGCCAAAATGTGGGTAACAAATGAGAGAAAAAATACCTCGAATAAAAAAAAACCTGCCTGATTGTGACGCCAAAGCGTGGGTATCAGTGTACTAAAAGCCGGATGTAACGATGTATCCTATAACCAAATGTATAGAATGTGAAAAACGTATAGAGGCAAGGGTTGGTAAATGTAGATCTTAAGATCCTGAACTATTGGTTTTAATCTAGTTCTAACCACCGCCATTCGTGCATCGCTGGTAATGATACTTTGACGGAATAAAATGTGGGCAAGCTGTTGCTGGTAATGATACTATGACGGAATAAAATTTGGGCAAGCTGTACCACACTCATCCAGTATAGATCTCATTAACACCTCGTACTCAGGATGGTTAACACCATACAGTGTTCGAGTGTCTGGACACAAGATAATATCAGTGTGTTTTTCACTGGCTTGACAATACCTGGATTAACAAGAATGATATTTTTTGGGTTTTTATAATCTTTGTGAGGATCAGTAGAATCTTTTGTTCCATATTTCACCGTGTGTTTTGGTCTGTTGGTAAAATATACCCATTTACGAAGTGCGCGATGTTTTTCCATTTAAAATCACTTGTCATTCACTTGTATATAATTTCTTTCTTTACTGGTGATTCTAAGATCGCTTGACAAAATAAACCCATTTAAGTTGGCCGCACATTTTCCCTCCAATTTTACATTGGTTTGATGGGTCGCTGCTTCCCCMCCCCCCCCCCTCCCTCCCTCCAATACAGTATTCCATGAAACCTGAGGAAATGGCGGGAAACTTTAACGAAGAAACGCGTGAGTGTTTTTATTGGCGGAATAACGGTACATTGCCCCTCTGCGACCGAGACCTCGCTACGCCCCTCATCTGTAGTAGTTCTAATTTTTTTGTATTGTTCTAACAGACTATGTATGGAGATCTTATCCTTGCTGATGGTCAGTACGGTGGTAGCAAAGGAAGACGATGGAAAGTAGACTGGAACCGAACTCCTCAACCAATCCAGATCAAACTGAAGTGTCTGAGAGGAGTGAAGGACAAACTACCAGGTATACCCCACCACATAGCTCCCATGAATGAGAGTGCTAGAGCTGGATGGGCGAGCGCAGGCGTTTTGGCGCGAAAATTGTTGCCCAGCTCCACAGGTAGCCTAACCAAGAAAGAGGAAAATTTACGATTTTTATTTCAACTCTATTTTTGGGGAACGGACGGCTGCTCTCCTTCGCTACGCCCTTGTATTTATTCCACTAACATGCACGATACTCAACACCAATTGGCTTGGATAATGGCTGTCGGTTTCTGATACAACCCATCCCCCTTGTCCCTAGAGGGTCTTGCTTGAAACCCTCTAACTCTATGCAGACAATACAAATGACTGAGACAGTTTTTGTTTATTGCTTAAGGTGGCCGTTACGTTTTGATGGTGTCCCTGTACGATCGTCTGGGTGGACATGTCTTAAAGTGGTCCAACCTGAAGGGTCAGCAGTGGGGAGGAGCTACTCTCCCTCTCCACCATGATGGAGAGTTCTTTAACATAGAAATCAAGGTAAACATTAACGCATAAGTTACAGCGAAAACGGAAGAGCAACGAGCTGTGAGCGCTACTTTCACTACTAAAAGCTTCGCGAAATGCAAGCGCGCGCGGAGCATGGGGGCTCACTCGTTCGCATATTATCTCCTTCGGCGACTCTTTCACGCTGCGCCTCGCGTCTTACTCATTGTCTCTTTTAAATTCCGCTTTGCCATGTCTTATGAGCAGTGTATTTTGCCATGCCTTATGAGCAGTGTATTTAGTAATGATGTTGGTTATCCTGTTTCATTTCCTGCCCCAACAGATAGACCAAAGTGTGTTTACAGTGTGTCCAGCAAGACCAGATGTTCGTCCAGGCATGTGCTTGGTGTTTGAGTTGTTCATCTTACGAGGCAGCGTCACGGCTACAGACCGCGTGGTAGGATGGGGATGCTTTCCTATCTGTGACGGAGAGTTCAACATCGTTGAGGGAAAGTACGTAAATCAAATCAAATCATTCTTATTTTACGAAGATAGAAATTAATATGGCCCTCATTCCATGATCAAATTGGAATTTAAAAGTGAAAAACCCTCCACGCACAGGAGAGAACCAACAAGCAACTCTACTCACATGTGATAGCGAGTTCGGGATTGAACCCGGAACCTTGGTGGTGAGGACCGGCGCATTACTAGCGCACACCATCTGCGCTACTAGTGCTATGCTTTGCGCATGTCTTTCAGAACTCGCGCAATGGTCTTGCGACGATCGGGTCACGCGTTAAACTCGTAACAACTGCACCACTTTAAAAGTTGCCAGCGAAGAAAGCAAAGGCATCTTATGAAAGTAAAGTGAAAATTTCCTAATATTTTTATTGGTGGTCGGGTTTTGTATTTTTCTCGGTCAACACTAGCCTAATATGACTGCGTTAAATCGAATTCCAAATGCCCCAAGTGCATGTGATAAGTCATGTTTAGTTACACTTTCTTTCTCTTTCCAACAGGTACAAATCCCCGTTCTTAAGGGGTGACATGGATCCCAGTATTGATAAACACGAAAAGGTGGAGGAGCTGATGGCTCAGGATCTAGAGAACTGGCTGTGTAACTTGTACTTTGAGGTCGTTAAGTTACCCAGGTAAACTATCTATGAATCAAGGCTTCCAAAATCTTTTGTAGATGTTTTCTGGATAAGGTCAAAACGAATGAAGGCCATTCACCAATCGTTTGAGTGACCAAGAAACAATACCTCCATGTCGAGGTTGGACTAGATGTGTTCATACATTTACTGTATTTATCAAGTTCAACCATGTTTTCATGTGTGCCGAAAAACGTATTATAAAATAACTGTTATAAATCTCGCATTCTGATTGGTTGGGAGCGCGTGCTCAATGAGAGCACACAGCACGCATGCGCCCTTTGCATTTTGTGAGAGAATTCAAAAATTTGCTTGCTGTGCTATGTGGAGTTATAAAGCACTTGGGATTGGCAGAACACTCGAGAAGTGTCGAAAAGCACTCCGCACTACCTATCCCCGCGTGCTTTATAACAGCACACACGTTTTATATTTCTTCATTTCCACACATATCTGAGAGGGCAGGGTATAACCACCATACTCGCATATTACTCAGTTCTATCTACATGTTATTGTTTCCAGATACATGGCAGGACAGAAGGAGTATGAGGTTGAGTTACAGTTCACATCAGGTCTCGTCGGGTACCCCGCACGTACAAACACTGGAGAGGAATTCATTGATGGTGAACAACCGGTGTATGGCTCTAGGGCTGACCTGAAATCATTAGCCTCGCCCACCAGTAGTAGGAGACCTAGCCGTGTTAGCATGCTAGGGTAAGTAGCAAGCTACACTGTATACTGTACAGGGGCTTAGTATAGCCATTTGTATGACTTGCAGAAGTCTAATTTGCGCCAGTAAGGCGGGGAGTGATTCCTCAGTCTTCCTAGCAAGATGCTAATGACCAGAAGCTCATGACCCATTACACATTGATTCTATTTGTAGATGTTTTTTCTGGGGGAGGGGTGGTGGAGGAGGGGGTAACGGTAGGACAACCCTCTAAGCACAGAAGAAGAGAACCAGCCAACGCCTAACTTAACATATGATGATGGCGGTTTCCGATATCCCTTATATTTTACCGCGGATATCTCGAAGTTCCCTTATTGCGCATCTTTTCCCTGGTCCCCAGTAGGTTCAAGGTAACGCGACTTCACTATGTTTGCAGTCTACCTAATATAAGGTTATTGTATTTCAGTGGATCAAGTTTTCTCGGAAGCACCATGGACCTGAAAGGTGAAGGCAAGGAGCAGCTGCCTGGATCCACGGTGGATCTTCAGGTTGAAGTCCCAGACCTCTCCACTATGCCTAAACGAAAACTGGTAATTATCATGCTGCCTGCCTGCCTGCATCTCTTTATTTCTAAGTTATGGCTTTTCTTTGCTTACTAATGGAATTCCTGTTTTTTTGTTGTTGGTTACAGTCCTTAGCAGTCCCCGATGCCAGCACTCTCCGTCGCTCGTCAGTAGTCTCCCAGACACGTCGTATGTCATCGGTGTCCACTACCCGGCGCATGTCTAAACCCATGACCGTGGCCATGTCTCGTAAAACGGTAGAAATGGACATGTCCTCTGAAGGGTCTGGTACTGACTACTCTGACGACGAAGTACTGATGTTGAAGAAGGATGATGGGTTCAATCCGGTTAAAGGACAGCCCGGGATGTATTACAAGGTATGAGAGGGCAGCCCGGGATGTATTACAAGGTATGAGAGG